AAGGCCGGACTGAGAGTCCTACAAACACCAACAGTGCTCCGAGGGAAACGAGCTGCATGGTTGTACCAAGCAGACCACGAACCCGTCGTCAGAGGACACGACCAAGGCGGTATCAGAACTGTAGTTGAGGTACCATTAACCAAGTGGGCTCTTCTTCCATGTCAGTGTACCAAATGGAATGTAGAGACACAATTTAGACCCATGTGGATTAACAATCATGGGAAACTTGTTAATCTGTTGAACTCTGACCGCCCCAGGGTGCATGCACTGNGAATAAACAAACAAAAAAAGGGGTGTGGTAGTACCTGCAATAAATACTCTGGAGGGATGAGCATTGTGCAACTTGTATTGCTTCAGGTTTTTTAGTTGTTGTCAGCAGTGATATTTATAAACTGAGGACAAGAAAATTTTCCAATCTGAGAAAAAGAAAATTTTACATGCTTTTCTTATTTTACTGTAACTGTCAGGTGTCTGAGAGCCCTGAAGCAGCAGAACCTTTCTGATTCAACAGAAGAAAACTCTTGTTCAGCAAGCAGGAGGATTAACTCTATTTTGTTCTTTTTTTAGAAGAATAATAACTTTTTGTCCCCAAAGTTTGCTGCAACTATCCTCACACCCTGTCTGCTTCTTCTAACCTGTGGGATTTTCACACAAAGGTTTCACCTGCTGAATACATGCTGCTAATTTTACACTGAAAGAAAACATGCTGCTCTGATATTTATTAACATTTCCTCTGTATTTATAGGCTGTGGCTCAAACCATATTTTTGTATATCTCATTTTGTTTTTACTTGATGTAAGATGAGCAAAGCCACAGACAATTCTTTGAACACAAATCTAATCCAGAAACTGAGTTTATTAAGCACACAGGATGGCAGCTCGCAATTGTTTCCTGTAATAGAAGCGTACACATTAATAACAAACTTCTACAGATGTCAGCGCTCCAAAATATGATCCACTTTAAATTCATAGCTCAAATCTTTTGAAATGGGGTCTTGTGTAAACAGTAGTTTGCCTGTTGCAGATTGCTCTTTGAAAGGTCCAGAAAACTCAAAATTAAGTCAGGCATTTTCAAAGTAGTGTAAGCACACTCGCAGAGAGCTAACAACTGCCC